GTTGGTCTAAACTCCGGTGATGACTAACTGGTAGACGACGTGACAAAAGGGGTCTCCGGCGAAGTGTTTAGGCGAAAGCTCTCTGAGTTCGAAATGACAAAAGTGTGGAAAAAAGAGAGAGAGCCCGTTTATATAGTACCCTTCCCCATCATTAGGCACGAAGCACGAAGAGGCGCATTTAATGCGCACGACCTCCTAAGCGGTGAAAAACGACTGAAAGCAATGATGGAGTGTTTGGGGCAGTTACAGAGCCCTTCATCTCCTTACAAATGCGTGTCGTCGGCGTCAGAAGATCGAAGGCTGGGGGGCAGTTGATGGGACATTTTCAGACACTCCCAGATGATGACACATATACTCGGCGTCAATGGAGACTCTCGTTATGATATCGACACGTATTCGTCGATTTTCAACCCCCTGCCCCGAGGATGCTATTCATAGGGATCAAGGATCCCCAAACCACCATGTACCGACACGTATTCTTCGGCAGTTTGGGTATATCAGTCCTAAATCATGCTAGTCCCTCGGCACCGAGGTGTATCTATCCGTGTGGGCATTTATGCTCCTGCAGGGGCTATTGATGGACAGATCACTAGCTTAGGTTAGGCTAGGCTAGCCATCATGACCTCATCTTACTCAAATGGTGTCAGGAGGCACAAGAAAGCAGAAGGCTCAATCAAAGGGGAATGAGCACGTGGCGTATTATGTCAGATCAGAGACAAAAAGACCAGAATGCCCTTGTTGACACACGACTTAGGAAAGCAAGCATTTAATGCACCATTCCCTTGATGAGACAACATTTAATGCATGAGAGCTCGGAAGTGAAAGGTAATAAATGCCCCAAAGTCTGAACATTTAATATACCCTCGCCAAGGAAAAATCATTAAACGTTCGACAGACCGAGGAGAAAACATTAGTTGCTCAGGGTCCCGAGCAGTAAAGAATAAGAACATCACTCATAGAAATTGATTTGCATACTGCCCACCTCTAATGATTACCTACTAGCTACGCTGACAGCAATGATGAGTTTTTAAGGTATAAATAGTCCTCACAAACACAGAAAAAGGGTACGCAACAAACCCTCTCTCAACCATCATACAATGTTTTCTTCTTCCCCTCTCTCAAAGAATTGACTTGATCGCCGGAGGGGATACGCTGAAAAATACTTCGGCGCCCTTCTAACTTGCTTTTCTTTATTTCAGGAACCTCCTTTAGCCTTCCAGAATCACTCAGGCGACTCATAAAAACGATTCATTATCCACCTTGGGCCACCTTCGACCCTCACAACCTATTCAAGTAGCAAGATCGATCATCCGATTAACGGACACGTATTCACCACAAAAAAAATCTGTTCTAATATTTATATTGTGCAAGATCCTGCACGCACACTATTTATGGTATTTAAAAAATTTTAGGGCATCCGTTAAAAATTGAACCTAAAAGTCAAACTTTTTTCCAAGAATATTGTTGTGCCGGGCGATGGAGAAAAGAACGAGCACAAAAACTAACAGTAGTGATGGGCACAAGGAGAAAATAATATTATAATGGTCACAGTCACACTTATCTTTAGAATAAAATAAACAATTGCCGTTACATCATAAATGAAGAAAAACACGTCGAAAATACTAGGCAGAAAAAAACAAGCAGATAGGTTTGGCCACAAGGAGAAATTAAATTATTAGAATATTAAAAATTTGAGATTTCTTTCGATTAATTATGTAATCTTTCATGATATCCTAGCTTCATTTTAGGTTTTTGCACAGATTTATTTAAATTTTTTTTTTTGTGCAAGATTTTAGTTGAACATTCTCTTCACGCGTTTTTTAAGTTTGCTTTAGAAATTTGGTGAATGATTTTACTTGAGCAATTGTTCTAGAGTTGATATTAAATTGAGAGTGGAATTTCACGCAGTTTTAAAATTATTCGTTGTATTTGATGTGTATCACAATTTGTGTGACAGAAACAATTTCTCTACCTTCAAAATCAAAATTAAACATAGTTGTTCTTTTTCAAACTTGACAATATCGAGAATTCCATGCACTTGGCTATATTTGCAAATTTTGGAGNAAGTGAAATTTCACGCAGTTTTAAAATTATTCGTTGTATTTGATGTGTATCACGATTTGTGTGACAAAAACAATTTCTCTACCTTCAAAATCAAAATTAAACATAGTTGTTCTTTTTCAAACTTGACAATATCGAGAATTCNGAGTGGAATTTCACGCAGTTTTAAAATTATTCGTTGTATTTGATGTGTATCACAATTTGTGTGACAGAAACAATTTCTCTACCTTCAAAATCAAAATTAAACATAGTTGTTCTTTTTCAAACTTGACAATATCGAGAATTCCATGCACTTGGCTATATTTGCAAATTTTGGAGGGGGGGGGGGTTTGTCACTAATTTCTAAATCTCTAATCATATCGTAATAATGACCATTGTCTCGAAAGAAATCATGGCCGCAGCCCTAATGAAAGAATGAACTCTAGAACGTCAAAAGTGGTTGGCATTGACTCCTATAGGGGTCTCCCTCCAACAACGTTTCTCTTGCCAAATCATTACGTCCTCTTTCTTTTTCTTTTTCAAACTTGTTATAATACTCCTAAATTCAAATAAAATTTATCATTATGAAATGGGAAAAATAAAATAAAATAAATAAAGCCTGAATAAGGGATATATCAGACAAACTGTCCTGATCATCATACCAAGCTGATCCAAACTAGTCAAGGTCAGGAATGGGTTTCTACAATTACACCACCCATTAAGACTGGCATCCAACCAGAAAAACTATCAGGATGGGGGTAAAGGAGGAGTTTCATCAACAAACCCTACATTGGCCAAGAGATTACAACTTCTAGAAGTCCACATTATAATGTTGGGTAGGTGACAGCCTAACCTAAAAAAGTTTGTGTTGAATTTTTTGTGGTTCTGCTCACTTGATGATTATTGATCTAACGGTTCTCATACGAAAATTTTCTAAAACTCTTATCTCTCTTCTAACTCTCTTTCCTTATTTTATACTAACTAATACAACTCTTTTTCTTTCTATCTCATACTAACTGATACAATTCTTTCTCCTTCTATCTCATACTCTCTCTCTTTGTTCTCACACGTTTTAAACATACTCTTTTTCATCTCTCATGTAATTCTATCTTGGACGGTTATATATATCTAATAATAACAAAATACATCTAATACCCATTAAAATTGTAATCAATAAACGATGTTCTAAACATTGTCACTAAAATATTAGCATAGTAAAACTATTAAACTAAAATTTAAGAGGTAAATATATTTAAAAAATAAAAATTGATTAGCATAAAATAAAGACAATAATCAATACTTGAATAAAAATAAAAAGACAATTTTTTTTTAGAAAAAACAAAGTCAAACGAAGATCAATTGAAAGAACTTTTACTTAATTTATAATAAAATGAAGGTCATCTGAAAAAAATCTTATTATAATAAAAAATTTAAATAACTGAAATAAAAAAATTATAGAGTAAGCACAAGTCAAAATATTTGTGTATAATTTTTAGAATATATAAATATAAATATACATATCATATTTTAATAAAAAAATTGAGAGTAGGCCCGTGCCCACCCTCGCTCCTGTACAACTCTGCTTATTATTGTCATCGTATATATCTATCTATTTATCTATGTCTATATCTATATGATCTTAATTGAATTTTTTTTCTTTTTACATCTCTCTCTTATCTCTCACATATTTTAAACACACACTCACATATCTCATATAACTCTATTTTTCTATCTACCTCACACACACACACACACACTTTCTCTCTCGCCCCCCTAAATACATATAATAATAAAATAATAGGATTTGGAGAGTTTGGTCTAAACCACTATATATATATATATATCTAATAATAATAAAATACATCTAATAACCATTAAAACTCTAATCTCTCTCTCTCTATATATCATATTCTCACGTCTCATAAGTTTATCTCATCTCTTATATAACTCTCTCTCTATACATCCACTAACACACGCATGTCAATATCGACTCCTACCCAAAAAAAATAAAAAAAAATATTTTTTTAAGTATAATGATTAAATATATAAATTGTGTACATGATAATTGATATTTTTTAGGAGTCATGTTTTTAGAGAAGCTTTGTCAAATATTTTTAAAAAATATTATTTTTAAATTGATTTTGAATTGTGTAACTAAAAAAAACAATAAAAAATAAAGTACTGTTTGAAAATATTTATATTACATGTTCGATGCTCGAGATTTTTTGAGTTAATTTTTGCGTTCAGGCACGAGTAATATTTTTGTATTATTTACTTGCTTTAGTTCATAGCTCAACACACTTAATTAAAAGCCCATCCATGTCAGCACTTCTTGGTTTTTTTTCACAATCAATTATATTAAACTAGACTAGCACCGATACATGTGTGAGCGAGATGAAATTAAAGACCACACAGAATAATAATGATTTAGGGTTTAGATTTGAGCTTAGAGCTTACGATTTATTAGAAAAATGAACCTTGAATTTTGTTATTCTCCACTTCTTGCAGTAATTAGTTCAACGTGAGGCCCTCTTAGAATGCCAAGTTTCAACTTTATGAGAAGCAAGTTAGGTGGAAGAAGACATACCAAATTTCAAGCCTTCAATGCAAACTCAAATCAAATACGCCCTTTATTCAATAGAATAAAAAGAAATTTAGGCTGCTTTTATCACTTCTCGAATTTCTCTAATTTTTCAGTCAATTTGAGTGGTGGGCATTTTGGCTCTTACCGGTAGTTAGTTGGAAAAATAGAATTTAGAATCCAAAGCACCGTATATTTGTTATATTGAAGGCGAGTTGGCCACCATTTCAATAAGAATGGCATTTACATAAATGACTGTAATATAAATAGTCAAAAGAGTTATACAAAGATATCACATCATGCATACAACCTATGAGCAGTGGACAATACTTTGGCCAAGGTTGAGTTCCCAAACCCATGCAGTTTCATAAAGTTGCGATTAACATTTATGAGGCACGAGCCGTATTGGTAATCCATTCACTGGAATGGGTGATGGATCAAATTTGACCTTTTCATCTGGAATCAATTTCTCCCACTTGAATCTAGTGACCAAGTTGTGTATGAAGCTTAGTATTACCAGGCGTGCAAACTCAGCCCCAGGGCACATACGAGGACCTCCACCAAACGGCACAAAACTGAATGGCATAGGTCCACTTCCTTCAAACCTCGCAGGGTCGAACTTCTTTGGATTTGGGAAGTATTTTGGATTTTGGTGTGTCGAAAACACGCTCCAATGTGCCTACAAATAAGAATTAGTTGGATTGGGAAAAAACTTAACACCATATGTGAAAAAAAGTAATTTCATGCATGAGGTTTTTATTATTACGGAATCTATAAGGTCAAATACATTCAATCCAAGTGTTGATAATACTAATGTCATATACGTTAAGTTATGGAAAAAGAAAATACCTTCCATCCTGTTGGAATGGTAAAGCCTTCGTAAGTGAAGTCTCTTATGACATGTTTAAAGGCTCCCGGAGCAGGTGGCGATAGCCTCAGTACTTCATTGACAACATTTCGCGAATACCTCATCTTTTGGATGTCCTCAAAACTCAACACTTTTTCTGGACCTTTGGACTTTAAGATTTCCATTTGTTCTGTTGTCCAAGGGAAACCAATGTAAGAAGAAGAACTAAAAAGACAGAAAACAAGAGTTATAACAAACACTACCATTCGGTTATAAAGTCATAAACAAAATTGCTCTACAAGCTTACTCATAAGGGTTGTCGTTGCCGAAGATGAAACAATCATATTTAGTGTGTGAAGTATGAAATTTCTCATGACAATCGTATTGTATTCTTTTGATTGCGAAGTTAAGATTGATCAAAAGTATAAAGATCTAATCAGTTACATTAGTGCCCAAAACATAAAAGAGGTAACAAATATGAGAAAATATATGTAATTGTGACATCACGTCTTTAATACGAAGTGATATAAACAACCAGTTATAGAATATCATTTAGCCTATCTAATAACTATTATGTTGGAATAATGTGATTCACTAATCCGACTAATCCTATTTAGTGTTTTATTATTGGTTAGTGGTATCACGTATTAACGATAATGTACCCGTGGGGGATATCGGGGGGAGGGTATAGGGTTGCGGGTTGAGAGAGAGAGAGAGAGAGAGCAATTAACTATGTCATGATTCCAAAGGGCACCACAATAGTACTGCTCAAAGTTTTTGAGCACTAAAATGTAATTTCACTACGAACAAACACCTTTGTTTTCCTAATGTTGGACTGAAATTTCATATAATAGTAGTGCTGTGTCCATAGTTAAGTTTTGTAGTGCAAAATGGTCATGTACAGGTCAAGAGACATTCTGCATAATATGGTTACTTTGTCAAAAAGGTCTTAAAAGTCTTACCGAAAGCTTCTAAATTCAAAAGAATGGCCTGGTTGACAATAATCAATTAAGAACCAAAACATAGAAAAAAATTTGGAGGCTTGAAATTTTCCCTTACCCTTTTTTTCTAGTCATGTATCAAGAAAATTCTGCAGAGCAGCCACTCCGATGGGGTCATCAGGGTTTAGATTTTGGTTGTTAAATGATCTATGTGAAGTGAGATTTCTTCTAATATTTTTCTATCAATTTTCTTTAAAGGTAGATCATCTATTATATATGATTGAAGAATCTATTTATAAATAGTGAGTCCTACATGAATTCGTAGCAGATAAGATAACCTTAAAGAAAAATGAAAGAAAAAAATATTATAAAGAATTCATGTCTGTATTTATTTGTTTCAACACATCCCTCCCGTGTAACCTTATCAAAATTATAGTAAGATTTCGATTCTAGATATTCTTCTCTGAAATTATGTTATATCACCAACTCATCCAAAAACTTCAGCAATTAAAGAAGCAATAGATGAAGAAAATAATTGACGAGAGATAAAAAAGTTGTAGTACGAATTACCCTTCAAGACTTCTTTGTAGACATGGGGATAATCTGCAAGATAGAACACAACAAAGGTGATCACAGTGCTCGTGGTGTCATGGCTCGCAACAAGTAAATGCAAAATCTTATCAGCAATTTCCATCTCCGTCATAAACCTGCCATCTTGATCCGTCGAAAGGATCAAGTGGCGCAACAGGTCTCGAGTTTCCATCTCTTTGTTCTCTGCCATTAGATCTCTCCTCTTCTTTATGATTGGCAAAAGCTCGTACCTAATCATGTTGGCCGCCTTGATGGCACGATTGAAAATCGTGCCTGGAAAATCAATGGGCACGGCCAATAGCCCGGCTGAGACTCGAGCGAAAGAATTGGCTAGCCGGGCTATCTGCTCGGGATCGTCGATGCTCATAAAAAGCTGACATGCCAGCGCAAAAGTGTGTTTTCTCGCCAGAGGCAAAGCCTTCACTTCTCTCCCTGGTGTCCACTCAGTTACTATTTGCTGCCTCGCCAAGCAGTCCATAATCTCCACGTACTTTCTCAAATTTTCCGGCCGGAGAAACTCCGGTAGATATCCACGAACTTTCTTGCTCTCTCCTATTGTGGAAGCTTGTTTAAAGAGCATAATCTTTTCATGGGTCTGTGGCCACCATGAGACAACGTGCTTGTTCTCGTTGGAGAACAAGAACTTGTTCCCTGCAGCTCCACAAAGCACTGCCATTCTTTCTCCTATCAGGGATGTCTTGAATATTTCCGATGAGTATTTCTTCATTCTTTCGTTTACAAACTTCTCAGGAGTACCCATTTTGCCCGTCGAGGAGAATTCGAGGGTTTCTCCGATGATCGGCCATCCTGTGGTTCCTGGCGGAAGGTATCCGCCGGCCTGTTTGGACTTATAGAACAGTGAGATGAGAAAGAGAAATGTGCAAAGGACTACTAGTGCAAGGAGAGAGAGAAAGAGATCCATGGCTTTGCTTTGTGTTTGTAAATTTATTTCACAAAGCAAAGCAAAGCAAAGGATGAGTTGTGCAGACCTAAGCAGAATTGGGTAGGTTATATAGAGGCAGAGGAAGGGTCTTCAAAGCACAGCCACGTTGCAGAAAGAGAGTCAACCGGTAAAAATGGAAAAGAATAAAAAAGAGCCACCAAGGTGACTAAAAGGCCGTTAATTCAGACTTGTTCTTTTTTTTTTTTTTGGGTTTAACTCAGTTTTGACTTATCTATAGTATCATTATTGACATAAAATGGGGAGTTCCCAAAAAAAAATTAAAATTCCCGTCATTAAAAAAACTCATAAAAATTAATATATTTTTTTTTGTTATAAAATGACCTATAAAATATTTATTAAAATTATAAAATTTAAAAGTAAGATGCACAAATTTTTTTTTTCTCATACTCCAATTCGAAGAGTGGAAAATAAGAAACACATCTAGTCCAAGAATGAACGAATTATTCTTGGACTAAAGGAGACCATTAACTTTGGAAATAATGCAAATTGGAAGTCATGATGGTAATAATTTAGACTTGACTATCGTATTGGTAAAAAATTTTGGTACTCTATCTCTAAAATTTATTAGTTTAATGAATATTTTTAAAAATTTTGTGATTCATTTTATAATTAAAAAATTTATCACTTTTGTGAATAATTTATCACATTTGTAAATATTTTTATCACTGTTATGAATATTTTTATTTTTGTTATGGTAATTATTTTTTTCACTTTTTTTCCGCACCACAATAGTGATAAGGTATTGAAATTTTTTTTTTCCGATATCGTAGACAACTCTTGATAATTTTGGTAGTATATTACGAGGGCTTTTCAACCTTTTCAAGAAAAATTAAATTTTTTTTGATCAAATACACTTTCGAACTTATTTTTTAAAAATTGTTGAAGTTATAACTTAGTTTATTAGGGTTTTGCCCATTTTTGTCTTCTTTTTACATTTTTATCCTTATTGTGACTTTTATTGTTTGACTATATATATGGGGTTCTACACTTAGTTTGTATCCCTTTTCACTCACGTTTATTCCTAGTTGCTATCAGAGCCATACCTCATACCTTATCCCTAACCCTAACCCTAACTTTATCCCTCATCCTCACCGGTGAACATAAACAACCCTCATTACCAATCACTAGCAAAACCACCTTAGTCATCAACGATAGCCACCAACCCTACCAACCCAGCGACCTTGGGAAAACCAAAACCTAGCGAACCAGAACCCAGTGAAACCCACTGTCTGCATACTACTAGCAAAACCCAAGCACCAATGAAACCAGCCCCCTCCAAGGCATTGCCAGTAAAAGCAGCATCTAAGCACCGACAAAACCACTCCACCAACCCAATAAGCCACCCTTCTCCAGCATCCAAGTACCGACAAAACCACTCCATTGATCCAATAAGCTACCATTCTCATATAGCCAAAAACAGCCCAGCAAACAACCCAACTTGATAGCCAAATTAGCAACCCAAAATAGCAACACAAGAACCCAAAATAGCACAAAACAGGAACCCATCAACCCACCTAGCTTGTGCCTAGGCAGTCCTAGCATCTACGTCAATTTGTCACGTCTTTGTACTTCACGCTCTTCGTCGTAGTGTTGTCATCTCATCGTGCCACTATCTTCTTTTTCCTAGGGTTGCAGCATCTAGTACCTTTTAAGAGGTGTTGAATCCTCTTTTAAGGACTGAAACATTCACCACGAGTCTAGTTCTATCATTTTAGTAGAGTAGTTTTATATTTAGGGTTCACTAGATGTCATTTTGATCATACATACTTTATTCGACAGAATATTTCTGAGCAGTGTATCATCCTTTTGGTATATGTAAATGATATTATTATTACTGAGGATGATGTTTCTGGGATTGCATAGGTCAAGGTAGATTTTGGGAAGGCCTTCGATGCGAAGGACATTGGATTTCTACAATACTTTCTTGGGAATGAGGTTGCCTGTAGCAGCAGGGGTATTATTTTTTCTCAAAGAAAGCATGTTCTGAATTTTCTCTCAGACACTGGTACGCTGGAGTGTAAATCGGCATCATCATCCATGATTCCAAACCCGAAGCTTACTGCTGAAGGTGAGGAGCTGGGATATCCGATTATCTATTAGAGGATGGTAGGTAGACTTATCTACCTAGCCAACACTAGACCAGACATTTCATTCGATGTAAGTTGAGTTTGTCAATTCATGCACAAGCAGTGTCAGCATTAGCTTGATGCAATTTATCATATTCTCTTCTTTGGTACCTAAAGTTTTGCCTTGGAATTGGGTTGTTCTATGCATCAGTATCTCAGATTGGTTCTCTAGCCTATTATTCATATTCAGATTATGGGGGAGCGTGTAACGGTCGATCTATTATAGGCTTCTGTGCTTTTTAAAGGACTCATCTTATCTCTTGAAAGAGGAAGAAGCAAGCAGTTGTCTCTCGCTCGTTAGTAGAAGCAGAGTATCGGACACTAGCACTAGCACTTGGCACGTGTGAGATTGTCTGGCTAAGATCGATTCTTGTCGAGTTGGGATTTCTAGTGACTTTTTCATCTACATTATATTGTGATAATCGATCTGTTATTCAACTCGCTTCTAACTATGTACTACACGAGATGACGAAACATATAGAGATTGATGTTCGCTTTCTTCGAGAGAAGGTTAGCTGTGGTGTTGTCACTCTATTATTTTGTGGGGACTAGTGATCAAGTTGTAGATGTTTTTAGCAAACATGTCACTCTATCTATTTTTTGAGACTCCGTTATCAAGCTTGGCTTAGTTGACATTTTTGCGCTTACCTTGAGGGAGAGTGTTGATGTTATAGCTTAGTTTATTAGGGTTTTGCCCTTTTTGTCTTCTTTTTACCTTTTTATTCTTATTGTGATTTTTATTGTTTGACTATATATACGAGGGCTCTACATTTAGTTTATATCTCTTTTCACTCACGTTTATTCATAGTAAAAGTAATGTTGTAGGTACTTACTTTGATCACTTGATTGACACTTAATTCATTATAACTATTAGATTAGTTGTAACTTCTAAGCTTACATGAAATCCACTTTCAATAGGCCCCTAAATTCAGGGCTGCCTTGATTACAAGACTAAGCCATTGCTTAGGACCCACATTTGTAAGGGGACCCAAATTTTTATATTATGTGTAAGTGCAAATATTTCAAATAAAAGGTGTTCTCTTTCATTATTTACATGGTAACTTTAACTTTATAAATTTTTTCATACATTTTTTTCTAATTTATCCTAGTTAGTAGTTTATCTCACTTTAATATGCCACGTTATTACTATTCACAATTGATGACTATGGTAACTATTTCTGGACATCTATTAACTATATTATGGGTCCTAATTAAACTAGCTATTTTTGATATTTATAGGTCCTATTTGTTGTTTGTGATATTTCAAATATAGTAAAATCATTTATTGAAAATTTTTATTTGAGACATATAATGTATAACAAAACAATAATAATCAAGTGCGAAACAATTATACAGAAAATTGAAATAGTTACAGAAGAACTAACAAACTAGTTATAGTAGTATTACCAAATAGTTACACATAACTATTTGTCAAACCAATATAAATATTAATCCGATTGCAGAATAGGAGCTGTTATTGAACTTTATGTAGATCAAGGCTAGTGTTTGACACTATGTCCTTAAGACAGATTATAAAGATTTAAACAGTAAGGATTAATTTTTCAGTTTTGCCGATAGGGCACTATTCATGCACCATTTGCTGGTAGGACACTACATATGCATCATNATTAAGACAGATTGTAAAGATTTAAAAAGTAAGGATTAATTTTTCAGTTTTGCCGGTAGGGCACTATTCATGCACTATTTACTGATAGGACACTACATATGCATCATTTAGGTATAAATCATGTTTAGGAGCATAATATGAGTATATTATAGAAGAGAAACATGCTTAAAATATTAAAATACAACTACTGTGTGAATTTGAGCCTAAATAGATATAATTTCAAAAATTAGACAAAAAGGGTATTCCGGACGGCCTAGGTGGAACCGGTTAAACCCAGCCACTAGCGAAAATATATATTTTTGAAAATTTTCATTTAAAATAATTTTAAAAACTTTGGTTAAAATAAAATGTCGAATTAAGGCGTTTCAGGATAAGTTGTAGTGTAACGGAATCTCAGATTCATCAAGGGCAAAAGGGTCTTTTTGCACCTTTGCCCTCCACTATAAATACAACCCTTTAGTGTAGTCAATATTTGGTACATCAGCCTAGCGTTTTTTAGACTAAACGGCATTACCCTCTAGTAATAAATGCCTTATGGGGTTATGAATGACGTTTTTTTCTTCGTCTAGTGGAATTTGGGTTGTGGAAAGCTGTCACACCCCATCTCAAGAGATCCTCTTTGGTTTCCCAGAGATGGAAGCGTAATGCAACACGTGACAATACCTGTGTTTGTAATGCAGTAATGCATTTAAAAATCAATAATGTCACCTAATGTCACAATCAAAACAAAAAACTATATAACAAACTACACAACGATGTCATTTGTACCAAAACAAAGGATTAGGAATTACATTCCTTAGTTTTCCCCCATCTCTACCATGCTAGTGCATTAGTGGGCCTCACTCTAGACTTCGGCATCTTGAAACCAATAATTTTCTAGAGTGTATTGAACATCATAATCAAAGGAAATAAAATAAAAATATGAATCAAATATAATTCTACCAAAAAGATACTTATAACTTGCAAATCACAATCAAAGTGAACTCAAATCACTTTGAAACTCAAATAATCCTCATATATCAAAATATGTAAATATTCGCATAAGCAGCGAGTCAAACAACAACATATAAACAATATCAGGTTATCTACAATATTTAAGCAATGTCAAGCTGTCTCACGACAACTGCACAATGTCCAAATCAATAATATGTAAGCCAAGTCAACCTATCAACAACTCGGAATAGTGGATATTACTCAAATTATAAGCTTTCCATAAAAAACTCATTTGATCCGTAATTTAAGCAACTCTACTCAAATGAATTCGGAAAAAAATTGATTTCTCTCATACAAGAGAATAAACTTGATATATTATATACTTTTATTTTCAGTTATTATGAAACAGTACACTTCATATTTACCTCTGACAACTACCCCTCCTTTTTTTACAATTGATCCCTATGTTTAACCGAGGTAGTAGTCTCCGACCCTAATAGTTAACACATGGTTGAATGCAAATAAGTATCGAACCAAAAATAGCTTAACTGATGCAAATCAATGCACATGAATATGTTTCATAACGTTTCGTATTCACCACAACATAACTTCAACACTCAAAGTCCGAAGACCAACTGACCCCTCAAGCGTTTTCGAACTAAATGAGTATCCTCTACAACGTAAAATTAGAACGTAAACACTTGTTGCCACTCAACCTATGTGCACTTACAATTAATTTAAAAAGAATCTGGTATCTCATTTTATACAGTCAAATCTATCGTTTCAGACCATTGTGTGTTATTGCACTCAAAACCCTAATTTGGATTCGTGATTTTCAGTCCAAATTGAAAAAATAATCATAAATTGTAAAATATGTTAAACCTTCATAAATAATTTAAGATATGATTTAAAAATGAATTTTAAAAGTTTCAATCGATTTGGAATTGAGAAACTCTATCCTGCATTGCTTTTTGATCCAAAATAACTAAAAATAAAACAATATTTTTTTAATGAAATTTCATACACACACTCAATTAACCTACTTAAGAATGAATATAAAATTTATTTTTCTAAAATCACCCAAAAATTGGGTCAAATTGGTCCCGGAGGTCAAAATAGTCATTTTAATCGTCATTTTTATCTAACCGTCGGATCGACCTGAAATTTTACCACGATCTCCACACTAATGTTACAAAACTTTTTGGTACTGTCCAGAGGTCAATCGGGCAATGGACAACCCCTCACGCACCGTCGAAGTGTCCAGTGGTCCTTTGATCCACTTCATCTTTTTCCTCTAGCTAACTAGGATTTCCTGCAAAACAGCCCAACCCCTTCACTTCTCTACCTTATTTCTCCCACTACACTTCACTATGTTCATCTTTTTCAGTCCCTAAACACTCACCACATAGCCCTCTATCAAATCCAACATTTAAATCACCACGAATCTCACTTAACCCCAACCAAATTCAAGCTCAAAGTTTGTAAAAAATTCATTTTTTAAAATCCATTTCTAATGTCACCAATAGATTCCTAGGGTTGGTTTTAATCTATAACAGACCCTTTATATCTTTAAAACTCAAAATTAACAAGTTCAAAATCTCAAGAACACAAAACCTAACCTTCAAACTTTACCTTCCTCAAACCTCCACCATCGACTATGGCAACACACAAAACCACCACTAAACCACTCCTTGA